GGAGTGGGAGAGGGAGAAGCAGGCTTCCCGCGGAGCAAGGAGCCCGATGTGGGACTCGATCCCAGGACCCTGGGATCATGACCTGAGCCGAAGGCAGACGCTTAACGACTGAGCCACCCAGGCACCCCTTAAAAAAATTTAAAGTACTAGTAGGACTGGATGTTGTTCTCCTCTGTTTCTCATTATCTCAATAAATTACAGAGACTTCAAGACAGTATGTCAATTAAAGAGCTTTTTATTTTAAAATATCATTATTAGGGCGCCTGGGTGGCTCAGTTGTTAAGCGTCTGCCTTCGGCTCAGGTCATGATCCCAGGGTCCTGGGATCGATTCCCACATCGGGTTCCCTCCTCGGCGGGAAGCCTGCTCTCCCTCTCCCACTCCCGCTCCTTGTGTTCCTGCTCTCGCTATCTCTGTCTCTGTCAAATAAATAATAAATAAAATCTTTAAAAAATAAATAAAATAAAATAAAATATCATTATTATTATTTATTATTATTTTCTGATTACAAAAGTGACACACATTCACTGTAGAAAATTTGGAAAATCCCAAAGAGCAGAAAATAAGAAGCAACCATAAATATTCTAAATATATTTATAGCAATCATAAATGATGGGTACATTTTAGTCTATTTCCATGTGATCCCTTTTTTTTTTTTTTGGTATACCTCAGAGTTACATTTATTCATGCCACAAAGGAAACAACATGTCTACAAGGGTACAGCGATGCTCCATGTTCCCAACTAACAGAGATTGCTGAGACTGATGTTCCATCTGATGTGTACTCCAAGTAAAGCTGATTAATGATGACCATGAGCAGGTGCAGGACTCAAAACTTTCAAAGCTTTCCTTCTTTTATCAGCAAGCCTGATTTTATAAATGGTGAAGCCCATTAACCCCGTTCCTACACAAATCTCCTGGTAAACTGGGGTACAGTAGGCCTTCACAGGGATCCAAACATTTTTAACAGGCTTTGAATCATCTCAGCACAAAACCCCTGGCTCAGGCGACCCCAACCCGCCCGGCCAATGACTCGGAAGTGTCACCTCCATGTAATCCTTTTGAAATGCCTATGTGCATAGGTTTTATCCCAAAACATGCTTTATTATCCTTTTATTAACTTAAAGAGTAAGATTCTCATGCTATTTGATGTTCTTCCAACATGTTTCTTAAATGGATGTATAATGGTCTATTGATTGGAGATGCCATTTATTTAGTCAGTTCCCAATGTTAGACATACAGGATATTTCCTATTTTTTGCAATTGTAAATAAGGCTACAATGAGCGTCCATATTTGTACCTGCTTATTTCTTAGGATATGGAGTTGCTGCATCAGAGGGTACATACTTTATGGTTAAGCCTCCTTATACTTTTTGTCAAGTGCATTCCAGGAAAATTGAGCCAATTTTTATTCATACTACCAATATAGGAGAATACTCATTTAGTTTCTGGAATTCTGAGCTAAAAATAAAATCCTATCAACTATGAGTCTAACAGAATATTCCATTTAGGTTGTGTCCAGCCATTGTATAGTATCCAACTTGGGAACAGGCTCCATTCACTAAAACTGGGTCGCCCAAATCTGTTGCTTTAGAATTTATGTTCTCTTTATCCATTCAAGTAGAAGTAAGTAGGAAAACAGTAGCGACAAGGGGCAAGGAATTGGAGGCTAGGATAAGGCTATGACTAGACAGAGGTTTAAAGGAAAAAAAAAAAAAAGGAAGAGCTGAAGTGGCAGAAGTAGAAAGACCTAGAAGCTTTTCTTCTGAACTACCTGTAAACTTCAGATGGTGATTCTATCTGCTCTGAACTCAGCAGGCTGCATTAAAAGCAAAAGTCAAACCAAAACACAAACCTCTGTCAAATATGTGTGGGGAAAATCATGATTTTTTTCCACAGTAGTAAAATGGACATGATCTAGAAGTTTCCCTTCCTCTCTCTATCTCTTTCTTTTTAGTTAGCAAAAGGAGGAAATTTCCTTGTGGAGACAGAAGTCACACAGATAGGGTTGGCTCTGGTGAGAGTTTGGAAATGCACTAGCAAGAAAAAGCATCCAGAGTAAGCCCCAAACTATTCAGCCTATTTCCTCAGACAAGTGTTTTTCTCTGGCCATCAAACAGTTGACAATCACATAGACACACTGGCTCCACCGGGGACCCCAGGGGCTCCGAAATGAGCCTGTCCTACAGCTCAGAAATGAGGTCTGTCCTGCAACGAGGACAAGGTAGCTGAGTCACTCACCAAATTCAGAGCTCCCTGTGCTGTGCATGTTAAAGGTTAAATATCTCTCACTTTCTCTGTTAATTAAAAACAAGGACAGGGAAGCAGGGAGGGAGATGACCGGTTAGAAAAGGGCTTTCAGGGGTCCTAATTTGTTAGCCCTGGTTGTGGCAGCTTCTGTGACTCCCAGAGTGAGAACCCCGTGTTAGCAGAGACCCTGGGGAAAAAAAAAAAAAAAGGCACCGAAGCTGCAGCAAGAGGGTCTCTGAATCCAGGAATATCCCATTATCTGGCAGGCTTCCCTTACCCTCTGCTGGGATTAGCCTGTTAGACAATCCCAGAATAGCCCTCAACCCAGCTTTATCCCTGGCATGTTGTGCCTGGTTGCCTGAGGCTGTATTTTGGGTTTGGTTATGTCAGTTGTACCACTCCACCTTCCAGAACCATCCTTGTGGGAGAGATGTGGTACCCTTGATAAATGCTTTCAGGCTGACTTAGGGTGAATCTTTGTTAGAGGGAAGTGAGAGAAGGTCATCCCAGAATGTTAAAGAGGCCACAGAACAAATGGTGAAGGTGGGAAGACTGAGGCCAGGACTCTTACACGTGGGTGATCTGTGTTTCTTTTCACAGGAGCTGCCCACCAACTTCCCAGAGGAAAAAGAAACCGGGTAACTGGGTGTTGGGGGCAGGGGCTTGGAGTGGTCGAATTAGAGAGGAGAAGATGCTGGAACCAGTGTCTCTGGAAAGGGCATAAGGATGAAAAAGAGGAGTAGCCTTGGAAAGGGATAAAGGGAGATAGTACACCAGAGAAAATCTTCCGGGGTTCCAGACCAGCTCTGAAACTCTGGGTCTCATCCTTTCCATTATCTTAGTGGCAAGGTTGGTTGCTCATTCTTTCCTTCACCCAGCAAAAATTAACTGAGCACTTATAGTGTATGTGAGGCACTTTGCTGGGTCCCGAGGAGGCAGAGAGGCACACTATCTTGGTCCTCGAAGAGCTCAAAATCAAGTTTGAGAGACTTGTTTACATATAAACAAGTAACTGCAATGCAATCTACTAGTGCTATAAGAGATTCACACTCATACCGCGGGAGAATGGGAGAAAACACCACTGTCGAAGGACTAATATAGCAAGTTCTCAAGCTGGAAGAGGAACAGAGAGGAAAGGGTAGGCAGTGGAATTATCTCTTGCAGAGGAAGGAAGGATGGAAGGATGGAAGGAAGGAGGGAGGGAAGGAAGGAAGGAAAAGGAAAGGAAAGGGAAGGGAAGGGAAGGAAAGGAAGGGGGAGGAAGAAAAGGAAGGGGGAGGAAGGAAGGAAGAAAGAAAGGGAAGGAAGGGAAGGAAGGAAGGAAGAAAAGAAGAAAGAAAGAGAAACAGGAAAGAAGAGGCTGAGTTCATTGAAAGTGACTGATTGGTGTGGCTGAGCACTTACCACATTGCACTGTAATAGTCTGTATACACATTTGTCTCCCCTAGTAGATTGTAAGCTCCCTGAGGCAGAGAAAAGAGTCTGCTCATCCTTCTAGCCCCAGAATGTGGCACACAGCCTGGCAAAAAATGGGCTCTCAACATGTATTTGCTGCACTGTGTCAGGGGCCGGTGAAAAATGAGGCTGGAAGATATTATGGGCAGAGCATGAGAGGAGTTTGGATGTGGGAAGGGCAGCAGTGAAAGAGGTGAGAGCAGAGGCAGGGAGATTAGTTAGAAACCCACCATAATAGTTTAACGGAGATTCAAAGAGGGCAATCTCAGTAGAGACAGGGAAGAGAGGATGAATTTAAGTTGGATTTCTTCCTTTCAGGGAGCCGAGCAGGACGGGCTCTGAAGCAGCCGAAGCAGCAGAACAGTGCAAAGGTAATGACAGGCCTCTGGCCCTTCCAGGGGGCTGCTCAGACATGTGATCTGAGGACTCAGCTTTTTCACCCTGCCACACATCTCAGTTATCTTGAACCAGAACTTGCTGGTTCCGCCCCACAAAGGAGCAAAGGGGTCGGTCAGAATTGCCGACCCTGCTTTGTGGGTGAGGGGCAAAAGCAAGCCAAGAATCTCCCTTAATGCTGTCTGTTTCTTGCAGGCCTGTGACGCAAGAGGACATATTTATGAACAGGTGTTAGAGGAGCCCACGTCTCAGGAGAGGAGTCGAGGCCTCAGGTTGAAGGAGAGCAGCTTACATTATGCAGACATTCAAGTGTGCAGCTCTACCCAGCCACGCTCTGCTCTGGAGGTGAAGAACCTGCAGTTTGAAAATGCTACGCAGTACGCAACCCTTCGCTTCCCCCAGGCCACGTGCCACTATGACAGCAAGAACGGGACCCTAGTGTGAGCGCTGGGGAGGACAGACCTGTTTCCATCATTTTACCACTACTCCCCTGGGGAGACTCTGCACTGGGGAAATGGCTGGCACCCAGAGATGCCTGCCACGTTTTAAAGAACTCCAGAGCCCTTGTGAGTGCCCCCAGTCTTGGCCCCTCCCCTAGGCCTATCTTTTACTTGCCACCATTAGCTTGGAGTGGTATTTGGGTTAGCTAGGGGTGGATGGAGTTCCACAAAATGAGGGGGGCTAGGATGAGGGCGCAGGAAGTTTTTTGACCCCTTCCTTTGCTCCTGCTTTCAAGAAAAGTGCTTATAGGACAGGTTACCCCAGCACTTGAGCTGATTTTGTTGGGCTTAATTTAGTGGTGTCTCTTTTACACACCTTAAACTCCAAAGCTGAAGAAGGAGAGGTGCTCTGGAAAAGCATTCTGAGTTCTTGTGCACAGCCCCCAGAGCTGGCTTGGGCAATTCCTTCGGTGGTTGGGTCAAGGGTCCCAGAACCTCAACAGACAAATGAGGGCAAGGGCTGAGGCGTGGAGGAAGCGATCGCTGACCATCGGTTACGAATACTTCAAGTCATTGACAGCATTGCATGGTCCGGAAACTCCCCTTGGTTGGACCGTTGGCTCTCGCAGGTGCGGAGCCGCTAGGATCAATAAATCGCATAAGGAACATGCCTGGTGCATTTTCCGGGGTGGGGGTCTGCAGGCTCTACGTAAGCGAAGCCCTCAGCGTGAGGGCAGCCGGGAAATCCAGACACTTCGCGCGCGGGACCCCACAGGCCTTGGCTGGGGCGGAGCGGGGCTCTGGTTTGGACGCCCAGGAGGCGGGTTTCCATCTACAGAAGGCGGAGCTCCCTGGGCCAGTCCTGGCATTCAGGGGGCGGGGCGGCCTCGGCCCGCAGGAGGCGGGTCAGGGAGGTAGGGGGCGGGGTCAAGGCCTGCTGGGGTTGCCGTCTGGGCCGTAAGGAGGCGGAGCCGGCCAAGGAAGGGGCGGGGTCTAGGTTGTCAGGGCCTGGCTCGCGCGGGCTGGAGGTGGGCGGGGCCGGGCGGGGGCCGGCCTCCGCGTCACCATGGCATCGGGAACGCAGCGGCGACGCCGTAGCAGGAGGAGGCAGAGCTCAGAAGGGCTGGGGACAGAGATGCTGAACCAGACACACCGATGATTTAAGAGGTAGGTGCTGAAAGCGGGGGAAGGGAGGGCGGGGGGGGGCGGTGCCTGGAAAATACACTTACCACTGGTTGAGCATTCAGATCAGAAAGAGGGACACACCGAGGGGTGAGATGGGGGGGGGGCGTTGCTGGAAAGAAGGAGGCGGAAGTTTCAGGTTCTGAGCCGGCTCTGAGCCTTACATGTTCTTAGGGTGAAGTTCCAGATTCAGACTTTCAGAGCTTGGAGTAGTAATGCACGTCCCCTTTCAGTCTGTATGCCATCCTTCCCAAATACCGATGCCCATCGATTTATCCCTAAGAGGGATGATTCCTTAGGACGGACACAGTACTGAGAATGGAATCACAGCACAAAATAGTTGGTAAATCATAGTATCGACTTCATAGAATGTGAGTATTTAAAACACTTGGAACAGTACATAGTATGTAGTCAAATGTAGGCTGCCATTATCATCATTATCATCGTTTTCCTGGCCTGTTCTCTGGCGTACACCTAGAGCAAGTGGATTCGGAAGAAGTGGCTAGAAAATTTCCTCCACTACTAATTGGCAGAGCAACTCCCTAGCCTGTTTACTATTAGCTGGGGTGTAATACCATGAACTTTATTTCCAACAGTTATTTACTATGACGGTCCAATAAGATGATGTAGGTGATAACACTTTGTAAACTTAAAGTGCTATGTAAAAATTTTTGCCTTAAAATATAAATGCAGCCTTTCTAGGTTAAAATGGAATTGCTGAGAATGAATGGAAGTGCCCATAAGCAGAGCTCCCAGTATTTGTCTTGATTGTCTTCAGAATTCTTACTGTGGTCATTTACTGATAATCTTAGGGAAGAGGGAAAATGCATTGTTGGTTGACTGATAGGGAAGCATTGCTCTTTACTTTATTACTATTAAGCCTAAGTGGCTAGTTTTTAAAATACCCCTGGGATAGTCCTGTTATGATGATAGTATCTTTGGCTGGATTTCCTGCTAACCAGGGTCCCATTTCTGAAACTTCTTGATGACATAAGTTGACAGATTTGGGGCAGGGGACTGACACTACTAGATTGGTTTAGCTCTGGAATTTTTTTTCCTGTCCTGTATTTTTGTACATTCTCCCTCTTCCTATTTTAAGGTGGCCCTGATCCGGCTTTTCTAGGGACTCTGAAGATGGGGACTCAAGTGGTTAGGAGACTCTGTAACTCCCTGCTGCCAGCAGAGCCCTCTGTAAGTTTCTGGTGTACTGTTGAAAGGAGTGTGATGACATTAATGGAATTTTGGTACAGTTCCACAACGGGGGGATTTCTCCGTCAAGACTCAGATCCTGGAACAAAATTGTCATGTATTTGCTTTCTTTTCTTGCTTCCCCTTCTTGTAGAAATTCTATCTCCCTTGATTCATTATTAATAAAATCAGGGAGAAGTTGAAAAATTATAGCAATTAATCAGAATATATGCAGTTTAAAAGATTTAAATAATGCATGTTAATTATAGGGCATTTGGGAAATATTGCAAACCATGATTTTATTTATTTTTTTATTTTAATTTTTTTAAAGATTTTATTTATTTATTTGAGAGAGAGGGAGGGAGAGAGCATGAGCAGCAGGGAGGGGCAGAGGGAGGGGGGAAGCTGACGCCCCACTGACCCAGGTGCCCCTAAAACAAACATTTTAACAATTAACAAACATTAAGTTACAAAAAAGCGAGAATCAAGGGGTGCCAGGGTGGCTCAGTCGGTTAAGCATCCAACTCTTGATTTTTGCTCAGGTCATGATCTCAGGGTCATGAGCTCCAGCCCTGCATTGGGTTCCACACTCAGTGGGGAGTCTGCTTCTCTCCTTCTCCCTCTGCCCCTCTCTCTGCTTGTGCTCTCTCTCAAATAAATAATAAGTAAATCTTTAAAAAAAACGTTTGTTTTATTACAGTTACAAATGTTTGGTAAACATTATAATGGTTCTAATTTTCTTGACAATTTTTCTGTTTGTTCAACTTTTAGATTCCCCTCCCCCATTGTAAATAACAAATTGATTTCCTCATTTAAGACTTTTTTTTCTTAGAATCGGGTTCCAGAAGTAGAATTCCTAGGTCAAAGGAGGTGCACATTTTAAGTAATAAGTTACCTTTTAAAAGAAGAATCCTGGTATCAAATTATATATACATCTTCCAGAAGGCAGAAGGTCATCAGCTGAGAGATAGATGGGTTCTTGGTAGAAATCTGGCTACCTCTTGCAATGAGACCTTAGGTCCTGCAGAAAGATTATTTCATGATAGTGTGGTTAGTAATGTGGAGCCCTAACATATTATGAATTGGCAGTCCAGAGGTATGGGGGCTTGTGTAGTGCTTACACAGTAGAGACATTCAAGGGTCACTTCTAAAATATCCACCAGATGTCGCTAGTCTTAATCTCATTTTTACCTTAGGATAACCAGCTGATGACTTTTGAGATGTGAATTTCAAAAATTCATGTAGAATGTATTTGCATATCTGCCTAAGTACAGTTTATATTAAGCACTAGCATCTGGTGATTACTTTGGCAACATCCTACTCTAGGCCCTTACCATTCTGTCTCTTTTTCCCTTTTTCTTCCCACCCAGTCTGTCACACTCACCCTGTACACTCTATCCCCACATACTAATATTGGATTCTTAGTTTTACTAGTCTTACTATTCTTTCTTTCAGTCTTGTTTCTTGCCTCTGTGTGTATTCATGTATTTATGTGTAACTGTGAGTTCCTTAAGTTTTTTTGCTAAAAGAATGGGATCTGGCATATAATGACATAGAATAGGCACTCAATATATTTAGTGGATGTTTAATGAGAAAATGCATTGATGAAGTAGAAGAAAATATAGAAGGCTACCAGAAATTACTTATATTTGTCTTGGAAATACACTGAAAGAGACAAAGATTCCTACTTCTAAATTAACTAGAATTAAATGCTAAGTGATATAGAAAATGCTATGACCTTTGAATTATAAAAAGAGGAATATTCATTCATTCAGCCAGGATTTATTGAGCATCTACTATGTGTCAGGAAACATTTTTGGTTCTGGAGATAAACCAGATAAACCAGTAACAAAACATACAAAATTCCCTGCTCTCATGGACCTTACATTCTGGGCAGGGAGATACTGACAATAAGCAAACAGACAAGTAAATATAGAATACACAAGACAGTGATGAATGCTAGGAAGAAAAATACAAATAAATTAGGCAAAGAGGAATGGGAGTGCCTGGGTGAAGGGGTGCTGTCATTTTATTTATTTTTATTTATTTATTGTTTTTTAAGTAGGCTCCACACCCAGGGTGGAGCCCAATGCAGGGCTTGAACTCACCATCACAGGATCAAGACCTGAGCTGAAATCAAAAGTTTAGGCTGAGCCACTCAGGTGCCCTGGGTATTGTCATTTCAAATAGGGTAGTCAGAGAAGGCTGAACAGGTAAAAGTGATATTTGAGCAGAAACCTGAAAAAAGAACAGGAATGAACCATGGGTTATCTAGGACTTGAGTATTTGAGACAGATTAAGATCAGATCTGCCTTGATTTTAAGAAAACTAAAAGTGGTCAGAGGAGTTTTATGAGGAAGCATAACTTGAACTAGGCATAGTAAAGATTTGAGTAGCCGAAGTGTGGGACATTGTAGGCAGAAGGACAGTGGTGAAGGCATGGGAGGTTAAAATGAGCCCTGGGAACGTGTGAGACAGAGAGGGGCCTGCTAACCTGAGCACAGGCAATTTGGGAGAGGGCCTTAAGAGTGGGGCATGAGGAATTTATATCTGACAAGAAAAAGGAGTGTTTGAGAACACTTGACCATTTGAGCAGGAGGACGAATGCATTGTGGCAGTAAGATTAAGGCTGGCAGAAGAGCCAGGAGACAGAGAACAGTTTAGGAGCCAGGACACGTTTGAGGCCTTTGGCAGTAGATGTGAGCCCTTTTGTGTACATTTATGCTGATGTCTCTAAAGATAAATGCAGTAGAAATTGTAAACATATGTTACTGCCAAGAAACTTGCTAATGTGTGAAAATAGAAAAAGATTAAGAAATTATTTCAGAGTCATTTAAAATATTTCCATTGACAATTTTAATTATCTGTTTATTCAGACCGTCTTTCTGCTTCTTTATAGTCATTAATGATTGCCCACGATAGATGTATTAAATTGACATAGGTGTGAATTTCACACATTTCCACATAGGGAGAAGTCACAGTCAATATTTTCACCGAATGACAGTTCTATTTAAGGCTTACTTAGGCCAACATATTATTATCTGTATTAATATAAGTGATGAATGAGTTTGCCAGTGTTTCCTCCACTCATTCATTCATGCATTCAACTAAGAACATTTACTGAGTACCTTTTATGTCTCAAGCATCATATAAAAGTATTGATTGCATAATGATTAAGAACCTGGACTTTGGCTTCACCACTTAGCTAATTACTTATCCTCCAGACCCCTCTTTCTTCATCTGTAAAATGGGGATAATAAAAAACCCCTACTGTTTATAGTAATTGTGACCATCAAATGAGCTAATGTATGTGAGTGCTTAGTATAGGGCTTGGCACATAGTAGAAGTTCAATTTTGCTATCATTATGGTTGTCTATAGATATTTGGGTAGCTTTTAGTTGGTGAGGGAAGTATCTGTGCCATTACTGTTAAAATAATATAGGACCGAGGAGGTCTGGTATAATTTCAGAAATCAGGCAGCGTGGCAGAGATAGGCAAAAAGTGGCTAGTTTGGACCCTTTGCCTCTCCTCACAGGCAGAGTGAATGACAAGCCAGAAGTGGTGGGAGTGGTTCCAGCTACCTGGACTAGCTCTCAATTTCCCCCTGTTCTAGCACTACAGGATGCAGATCATTGTCCTAGTTATTCCTGGTTCTTTTAGCTAACCCACTTACCCTCCCAGCTCTTATGCTGATATGACAGCAGAGCGAGATGGGGCAGATGGAGGGAACAGTAAATGTTAGTGCTGCTTAGAACTAAAGCTCAGTTCTTCACCTGGGCTATTTGGTAAGGCAGACCATGATAAATATGGTGAGCACATCTTCTGAGCAAAAAAACCCCCTAGAGATTATATGCTCCAACAGGAATTTTGTGCTTTTTCCAAGTGTGAGAGGCAGTCTATATGTGAAAATATTATAATTTTTGGAACATTTCAATAATTGTATGGGGAAAATGGCACAGAATATTATGAAATGTGGGTACTATCTAAATTTAAATGAATTAAAATTAAATGCTACTTAAATTTTAGTCCTGCATTTGCATTAGCCACATTTTAAGTGCTTACTAATCGTGTGTGGCTAGTGGCCACTGGATTGGATGGCACAGATATAGAACACTTCCACCATCATAGAAAATTCTATTGCATACCACTACTGTAGGATATGTGGTTGATATAATTACAGATTTCTAGGGAATAGTGCAATTGTGGACCATATGACCTGTAATAAATCTTGTATCTGTTCACCACAGTTCCCTCTAATTCCTCCAGCATGCTGTGAGCCTCAGAGGCATTTGGTTCAGATCTTAGCTCTCATATTGATTTGCTGAGTTCATGTAAATAGCTCTCCTAGTCTTCATTCCTCCATGTGTGTCAAATATCTTTTTTTTTTTTTAGCTTTAAAATCCAATGATTTAATGAGTCTTTTCCTAGGAATATTGAGCTCACAGGTCTTACTTGGATAAAGGACTTGTTCTTTGAGAAACAGTGACCTTTTGCCATATAACTATCAGCAGGACCTCCCTCTGATGTTTCAGATATTTACTTTGTCCAAAGCATGATGGGCCAGCAACCAATCAGAATCCTCTATCCAGGGACCCACCAACTGGGTGTTTTGGTTTTGCATCACTATGCATGTAGATGTGTTGCATGCAATTTTATGTTGTTGGAAGTTTCGTGCTTCTCTTTTAAAAGGGCCTTGTTGCATTAACATGGGTTAGTGACTCACCTGATCGTATTACACCATGAGCTGTGGTCATGGCAAGGGGAATTCTTGGCAGTTAAATTCCCCAGTTACGAAGGACAGTGCTTTTCTGATTCATGGGCTGATCAGGTTCAGTTTTATTTGGTGCCATGGCTTTTCCCCAGCCTTTGTCAGAATTGAATACAGAGCATTCAATCAGCACCAGCCATGGAACACCTCTGGTGGCCTTCTGCTTCCTGCTTGCTGTGGTTGGGGTGGGGGTGGGGGGTGGGAGGTGTGTCTTTCTCATAAGTATCATTGTGTTTAGCAGCTTTAGACATTCAGGCAAGATGTTGCTAGTTCTGGATGCTCCCTACCGAGTTTCTTTTTCTTTAAGTGAGCTGAGGAGCTGAGGAGGAGGTCATTAGGTTGAAAAGAACCGTTTCTGACTTTTCCTCCTAAGGTACCAGTGGGTATTTGGGGAAGAAATTTGGGCCTTCTGCAAAATCGTAAGTGTAGGGTCCTAGATCCTCAAACTGCCTTTATTACTGACCAGCTGTGTCCTTGGGCAAGGCCCTGACCTTCTTTGAGCCTTAACATTCTGTAAATCCTTCCCCTCCATCTGGGATCATGAGGTGTAATATAATATGGGTGTTCTTTCAGCTTCCAGTTTCCCTATAGAAACAAGAATGTGCACTGAGACTACAAATGACTAGTAGTCCTAAAAATAAATAAGCAAGGCTGTGACTTGAATAACTAGAAACAGAGGGGAATAGCTCTCTATTTCATTTGGGGAAGCTTTTACCTAACTCTTTCAAATACTCCAGGGCATTTTTTTTTTTTTTAAAGATTTTATTTATTTATTTGACAGAGAGACACAGCGAAAGAGGGAACACAAGCAGAGGGGGTGGGAGAGGGAGAAGCAGGCTTCCTGCGGAGCGGGGAGCCCGATGCGGGACTTGATCCCAGGACCCTGGGATCATGACCTGAGCTGAAGGCAGACACCTAACCATCTGAGCCACCCAGGCGCCCCTCCAGGGCATTTTTGTAGTATTTATTTTATTTTATTTTTCAAAATATTTAAATTTTGGTTAACATATAGTGTAATATTGGCTTCAGGAGAATTTAGTGATTCATTACTTACGTATAATACCCAGTGTTCATCGTAAAAAGTGCCCTCCTTAATACCGATCACCCATTTATCCCACCCCCCACCCGCCTGTAGTGTTTATTTCTTTTTTTCTTTAAAGATTTTATTTATTTATTTGACAGAGACACAGCGAGAAAGGGAACACAAGCAGGGGGAGTGGGAGAGGGAGAAGCAGGCTTCCCGCGGAGCAGGGAGCCCGAGGCGGGGCTCGATCCCAGGACCTCGGGATCACGACCTGAGCGGAAGGCAGACGCTTAAGGACTGAGCCACCCAGGCGCCCTTGTAGTGTTTATTTCAATTAAAACCCATTTAATTCATTTAAAGCTCACTAAAAATATGGGCTTTACATTTTAGCAGTTATTTTTTGTTATTTGTTTGTTTTAAAGATTTATTTATTTTAGAGAGAGAGCGACAGAGCAGGGGGAAGGTGCAGAGGGAGAGAGAATCCTGAAGTGGACTTCTCTCTGAGGAAGGGGGTGGGCCGTGGCGGGGCTCCCTCGCAGGACCCTGAGATCATAACCTGAGCCTAAATCAAGAGTCAGCGGCTCAACCAACTGAGCCACCCAGGCGCCCCTTAGCAGTTATTTTTAAAAGAAATACAGATTTTTTGGGTAAAGCCTTGGTGATCCTTGGTTTCCCCTTGATGTTTCTGTTATGATCCTGTGGTATTTCTTTACCACTATTTCTATTAAATGTGTTCTAATACTATTAATAACTAAAGCTCTATCCTCTTTTACCCCCCTCTCCTTCTGGTGGTTCTTCTCTTTCTCTCTCTTTTTTTTCTCTGTCCCTTCTGCTTCCCCTTCTTTAGTCCAACCTCACTGTCCAGGCCCCTTACGGAAAAAGGTTGCTGTTTTCAGCTAGTCTGGGAGAAAAAAAATCCTGATTCACTCCCCTTCCCACCCATCTTGTGGTGGAGCGTTGGGCCTTAAATCAGCAGAACGTGTGTGTGCGCGCGTGTGTAGCGCGCGTTCACGCCGGTACTCCCGCCTGCAGGCCTGGTGTGTGAGTTCGTGTGTGATTGCAAGCGCATGCATACGCCGGCACGCCCGCCGGTGTGTCGAGTGTATGTGTGTGCGCTCACGTGGATGTATGTTCGCAGCGCGCGCGCACACATACCCGCACGCCCGCCGGGGGCCTGGTGTGTATGTGTCTGCAGTGTAGGCACACACGCCCGCCCCCAGCCCGGTGTATGTGTGTTGTACGGACAGAGAGAGAGAGAGAGAGTGTGTGTGTCTGTGTGTGTGTGCGGTGCGCGCGCACACCAGCCCGCCCGCGCGCCCGCTGTGCTCCCCCTTACGGACTCCTGGCCGGGGGCTGCCAGCCAGCGCCCCTCCACCCTTTGCGCGCCCAGCTGTTTCTATAGGAACCGCGACAGCGCCTGGGCCCCTCCGGCGAGGCCCGGTGCGAGCATGCCCAGTGGAAGGCGCTAGTTTGGCTCGGGTCTAGGTTTCCAGTAAGTGAGTGGCCTGCGGGACTCCGGAGAGATCCCCATGAGCTGAGCAGAGAGTCTTTGTGTGCGGAGGGAGGAGGCGGCTGCGGCCGCTGCCTGGCCTGGAGACCCCGCCCGGGGAGCCCCCGCCAGGAACAATGCTTGCCTGCCTGACCCGGGGGAACTTACTGGACGTCCTGCAGGAGGGCTTCAATGAGGTAACTGTCTGCTCCTCCCACTCCCAGCTCCTCTCCCCCCAGCGCCTCCCGCCTAATCTCTGGAAGGGGTTCTCCGCCCCCATCCTCAGGGGGACCCCAGATCACTTCCCCCGCAGAGCCCTAAGGGGCCAAGGTGGTGGGTACGGTGCAGACGAGATGGCTAACGGGGAGAAATCTGAAGGGCCGCCTGCCTCCAGTTCCCCTGAGCGATGCCCTTCCCTGGTGGCTTACCTGAGCCCAACAGACAGGACCAAAAACTCAGAGGTCATCTCCTTCCAAAAGAGGTGGTCTCCACTCTTCCCGGGGATTCTCCCCAAGAAAATCCCCAGGGAAACCCCGGCATGTATGGCAAGAGTGCTCGTTCTATTTCAGGATCTAACTGGCTGGGCCAAGTTAGGGGTGGGGTGGAATTGCATTGGTGGAAAGTTTGAGAGAGGGCAGGGTGACTAGGTGGTCCACATGAAGTGCTCTCTTCGTGTTTATATCTCTTTCCATTTTCCGGGCAGTGGATTTCTTCACAACCAAGGGCATGGTTGGCAGACAGGACCTAAGAGGAGAGAGGTTGCTTGAGTTCCTGGCCCCGTTCAGGGGAACCAGCATTTGCTCCCTTCTGTGTGAGAGTGGGGGGACTGGACCGTCGATCTGACCGGCAGTATGGGCCAGGACTGGCTGGGGGTCTTTTTCTTTTCACTGTTTTCTCTCAGAATTCTGTTGTTTCTTCCATTTCCTTCTCTTGCGACGCAGGAAATTCTGGTTTAGGACTCTCCCCCCCACCTTGTGATTTGCTCCATGTGTCTTCCAATGCTTCCAAGCCCCACCCCTTTGGGTCACCTGATTCCAGCATCCAGGGAGACCTTTACAAGGAGAACTAGGCTGTTGGTTGTGTCTTTCATCTTTTCTTCCTCTCTCTTTTTCTTTCCACCGCTCTCTTTCTTCCTTCTATGTCCTTCTTAAATATAAGGCTTTTTGAGGATGAGTTTTTAGTTAAACAACACATGAATCCATTCTCTTCTTAATATGAACATTACAGGCAAGACTCTGTGCCTTTGGCCACCCCTCCAATCCTGGCCTGTTCCCCAGAGGTGACCCTTCTCATGAATGTGTGTGTAAGAGTTTCTTTCTCCCGCTGCACTGTACATTCTTTCCTCAATTCCTGTTTCTAATTAAAAAGCTCCGCAGCCGACCTGTCTCGGAACCTTCCCAGCCCTTGCCCCTGTGCCCCAGCCTTGTTCCTGACGCAGGAAAACTGCAGAAATGCTGTCCCCACCTAATGAACCGAGTTGGGATTTTCCTTTGGCCCAGGGATGTCACAGCCTTCACGGAAGGGCGGAGCTTGCATCCTGCCTGCACTGCAGGGCTCCTCATTTTGCATCAGCCCTCCCTGAACACACGTAAGGGGATTGTTAAGAAAGAGCCACAGTCTGAGAGATGAAACACCACGGAGCCTGGAAGCCACCTCTTTAAGTGCTACCAGTATTCCTGCTTCCTCTTCTCTCACTCTTGGCCTCTGGGGCTCCCCTGGTCTCAAGCTTCATACTGTCTGACCCATCTACCAGTTGTGGCAGAAGCTCCTTAGGTCCTTCTATAGCTTCCCGGCTTTTTAACTCAGCCCCTGGGTGTCAGGTCCCACTGTCTTATTAGGTGGAGGAAACCAGCACAGTCAGCCCTAGCCTTTGCCTTCGGTTCCTTTTCAGTTCCAAACCTTTCAACCAAAGAGCCAAAAGACTTGGCTGTCTTTTTCATGTTTTAGTGCTTGCATAAATATCCCCTGATCTCCCATTCTGGTAAGACATAAGGGGAAAGGACAGTGGGAGAGTTTTCTGTTTGTGGTGGTAACACAGTCTCTTCATCAAAACAACGCACACAACTTTATAATGAACTCATCTAGAATAATGGCAGTAATGCCCCTTGTCCCTGTCTGATGTTTGATTTTCCTGCCCATCCTGTATGCTTCCCTCTGTCCCCTTCATGGGCTTATGTAAAATCCATCCCTTCTATTTGTAGATTGGAACTCTGATAGCCAATAGGTATTTCTGATTTCTCTGAGAAATTGACATCATCTAAATACTACTCATAGTAATATGTTAAATCCCAATGGCCCCTGAGAGTTTAAATAATTCTTTCACATACATAATAAATTATATTAAATAATCCTTTTCACTTAGAGTATCATATCTAGTACTACTGAATACTGCTACGATTTGTTATTTCAGAGTTGATGGAGCCCTGATTGATTTATTCCAGCATCTAGAGTTGCTTGATAGATCTAGTAATATTCTATCTCTTTTGTTAGAGTCATGTGATAAGGATGTAAATAGGGACTTAAAAGCTGGTGTCAGAATACCCTTTGATTCCTCTGAGAAGCTCTTCCTACTGAGGCTAAGAATACCACACATGTGTCCAGTCATCTCTGGGGAATGATCCAAGCTTATCTGAAACCATTCTTCATCTCCCAGATGCTTTATAGATCTGTGTGGTTAGGGCTGTGACCTCATTCTGTGTGGCAGGGAAAACTGCCACAGGAAATGAAGCTATGGCTCTAATTGGTTAATTATAAGGGAACCCTGCAGCAGAGAGAAACCCTACCCTCTGAATCAAGGCTTCCCTCTATCCGTTGTTGGCCCTGTTCTCGGTCCATTTGCCAGTATGCGTAACTGTGCATGACGATTTTCTTCTGCCACCTTCCCTGGATAAAGCCCTTGCTTCAGCACACCTGACAAATTCCCCACAGAACTGATCTAGGTCAGTGTTGTCAATGCAGTTCCTCTTACTGACATGGTTGATCTGCATTGTGAGTTATCCACAAATTTTGGCTACCGCCACATTCTCTAGCCTACCCTGGCTGTCATCCCCAGTCTCTTGTGCTCTGGGCCTGGCCAGGCTATCCACAGTTCACATTTTCCCCATTCTGCATGCGCCTCAAAGCTATATGTTTTCTCTGCTACTTGGTATTGATGTTGTCCTATGAATGTTGTCTTTGGTTGATGTGCCAACATAAATTTCTGCAAGTGTTTTTCTGGGGGCTGAACTTTCTTTTAAAAAGACTTGGGTGGTTGTATTGGAAGGTTTTGATAGACCTGAGACTCTAATATGGTTTGGTCAATAAACATTCATTCATTTGGTTATTTAGTTCATTTATTGGGTGAGGGGGTGGATAAAAACATACCTGGTTCCTGCTTCCAGAGAATTTATAGGGAGAGATTTGTAGGTGTGCTGAAAAAAATTTTTTTTAAACCATAATAGTATGCTTACCACAGTAAGCATCCTAAAAGAGGTAGTGTTCATGGGAGATCATAGGGATCTCTTCTACTTAATGATATCCTGAAAAGCGCCAAATATTTCCCAACCTATCTGCTCACTGAAGCCAAACTCTTTTTTCCTGCTAGTGTGGTAAACAGGCATGGAAGCACCCATTCTACAGGCATTCACTGAATTACTGTGTTTACCAGACACCAGCCAGGCTCTGGAAATAGAAGTCAAATAACATAGAGTCTGTTCCCTAGTGGAGCTCACAGGTCAGTGAAAATAAAGTAAATGTTCAGAGTATCAAACTTGGGAAAATTGTGGTGATATAGAAATCTTGTTTGTCAGGCAGAGCGAACCTGAGCCTGGCTGTGGTGTAAATGGCCCAAGGGACTGAAAGTTATGGGGAATGATTTATTAAAATGTTGGTCAACTGGATGGGAGTTGTCTGAGCCTTAATTTTTGAAATGCACAACCTGGAAGACTTTGCCTACCCGTTTCCCTCCAAGTAGAATAGTAGAAACTTAGATCCCACATGGAGATTCATCTGCGTGGCAGTCCCTGAGAAATACAAGGAGAGCCTTTGTCTGGTGTCATCCCCATAAGGGGTACATAGGATGAATGAGGAAGAGGATTGGCAGGTTGGAGTGGCCGTAGCAAACATCACTCCTCCGAGCCCTGTGCCTTCCATGAAGTAGGATTTGCGACATGGGGCCAACCACAGGCTTTCACACATTTCCACAGTGAATTCCTCTGTGCTTTGCTGTAGAAATTAAAAGGCCTGTTAAGTCTTTAATGTAACAAAGCACTATTACTCCCTAACCCTTTTTTTTTTTTTTTTTTATCCTGACTGCTTCCTCTTCTCCTCACCCAGGCTCATTGGCTTTGTTCCCACAGGAGTCAATGCCAGCTAAACAGATGCTCCCTGGCAGCAAGCTCTCAGGCAGCTTTATGTTCCTCATGGTGAGTGATGGGCTGGCCAGGCGTGTGGAGCAGTGATAGGGCACTGTTTGCCAGGTGCCGCTCCCCCAGGCACTTCAGAGAGACTGGGAAGAACTGGAAATGCTTCATTGGCCGTGACTGGCCTTGTGTAGGTGGCAGGGACCAAAGTCTCAAAATGACACTGGACTAAATATATTTCCTTATGTGTTATCCCCAAACCAGGCCCCACTGAAGTAGTCATGAACATGACCTTCAATGGTCAGGTATGATAAGGGGACAGGGAACCAATCCCAAAGGCCCTAAGAGTGGGCTCCATGCTCTGTTTCTAGGATAGGGGACACTCATCTGCAGTGATGTCTGTCTCATTCATTCATTCATTCATTCATTCATTCACATGCATTTATTGAGCACTTACTTTATAACATGTACTCCTGAAGGAACAGAGTGTTTGTGGAACTTGTAACTAGTGGGAATTTTAAAATAAGGTTAGGAAATGAAATATTTCATAAAGTCTTTAGTTTTTCACTTTGTGGTATATCATCCTTCGACCACTGGGCTGAACACTAATATGAAAGCATGGCCCATATAGGAAGAAGAAATGTAATGATATTTTTACTTGTGAGCTTCATTTTTACCTAATTAGCCACCAGGTTCAATGAGTAAGTCGCCTTTCCTGGCTCAGTAAAGGCCTGAAAGAGTTAATAGAAAGGCTACACCATATTATGTTCTCTTACTGGCAGAATTCAGGCCAGTAATAACTCAAGCTTTCCAAACCTCCTGCTTTCCCCTCAGTTTCTCAGCAGCGTATCCCCAACCCCTCATCTTCTGCTGCTGGAGGGTCTCGGTCCCACACAGGCATCTGGTTTCACTGTGAAGCTGATTTCCTTCCGGAGCCAGTCAGGTCTCCTCCTGAACTCTCCAGCACACCACCAGAGCCCCACTGCTTCTCTTGTTTGTCTTTCCTGCTTGCCAGCAGGGAGCCACAGAGCTCAGTTTGGGATGCTTTCTGCACTAGGAACAGTAGATGACAGACTTTCCTGGTGAAGCCCAGTAAGTGCTCTTTGCAACTCTAACCAAACAAGTCCCCTGTAGGAAGTCTCTTTGACCTTGAGGCTTAGAGGAGATAGGAGAGGCTGGGTTTGCAAACTTGTTTGGAAGGAAGGGCAGGTTCCAAAGAGAAACAG